TTCATAAAAATGTTCTTTTTATATCTAAGTTTTAAAAAATGAATAAAAGATTCCTAATAAGTCAGTTTATCTTTATCAAACAAAAAAATTTTCTACCTGAAAGCCAAATTAAATTTTAATGAGCATTTGAAGTTGAAATTTTTATAATGCTGGATACTCAATTATGCACTTAGCAATTTTCTTATTTTGTCGTAATTAAAAAACGAATTTCTGTAGACGTTTGAAACTTATAAAATATGTTTATTTCATCAATTCATAAACTTGGTAAAATTTTCAAAATATTTCGACTTGTCTTAAGCTGTTGACGGGCGTTTTAAGTTAAAATTATTTTCATTTTTTTTTCTATAAATGTCAATAAAATTGTATTGGTTGGGTAAAAAAGCATGAAAATTTAATACAAAACTTTTGATATATTGTTACAATAGCAGTTGAAAATATTAAAATTACATATGAATGATTTTTTTTTAAAACATTTAAAGTTCACATTTTGACAATATTTATCAAATTGTAAATTCAAAATGATTTTCTTATGAAAAATTTATAAAATTTATAATTTTTATGTCTAAGGATTGAAAATTTAAAACAAGGTTCCAATTAAACAGTTTTTTCCGTAACTAAAAAATTTAAAAAATATTAACAGTTAAATAAATACAGTTATTTTTTACAGACATTTTAAGTTCAAATTTGGACAAAATGCATATATTACTGCACAAAGAATAACGTTTATCATTTTGTTGTAACTTGGTTTTAAAACAGCCCAATTTTACATTGGTATATTTAATATTTTTCCAGCATCACTGATAATTTAAGAATAATATTAATTCAACTTACCGGCTACCATATTAATAATAAGTAATAACAACATAAAATATCCCAGACTGACATACTGCCTCCGTTCAGAATCGTTTTTCGTATACAAAGATTTGAATATATGATATCTTTGAATTCAAATTTAATACCATCCATTACAGCGACCTTCTATAGACACCTATATAATGTACAGCAGAGGTCCACTTATCCGCTTTTTTTACTTTGCAAGTGTTTCATTATATTCTTTACTTTAAATTAATACAATAGATATTTTGTGTTATAAAATATATAAGGTTCATTTGAATTTTTATGTTAATTTCAGATTGTAACTCTAATATTTTATCCATTTAGAATTATAAGCGATAAACGTTCGGCTTATTTACCAATAAACGAACAACAGTATTAAAAATATGTTTAATAGATATCGATGTTTTCAAGGTCCTTTAGGTACTATGGGCTCAATTTACTATACCCATATTTGAAACCAAAAAATCCAGGGCACAATTATCATACCTATTTTAGAAACTAAAAAATCCCTGGCGCAATTTACGGTAATAGTATTTTTACTACCTGTTCCATGTGGGCTCAATTTACAAGCTAGGAGTAAACAACATATTATCAACGGCTTTTCTTTTTACATTGTTGTTAAGAGGACGTCACAATGTAATTATGTTATCGAGAAATAAATTGAAAATCGTATTATATATATATATATCTGTATTTATTTCAAATAAAATAAAATTATAAATACGCGTATAATAATAATAATAATAATAATAATAATAATAATAATATATAAATAAATAAAAATAATAAAGTAGATAAGTAATAGTAATAATAGTGGTTGTTTTAAAATTTTTTCTTATACGCGTACCCATGATATAATTTGTGCAAAAATGTTAACAATTAATATACGATGCAAAATCTGCAACAATAATGTGTTTTAAATTAAGAACGGAAAATGCTATTAAATTCAATCTATAAGTATAAAATAATATAAAATATATATATATATATATTTGGATTATGATAAAATTAATAATAAAAAAATAATTAATGTAGTAATATAAAATATAATAATATGATCAATTAAAGATTATAAACACTTCTATTTCATAATATTATATATAAAATAAAATACATATTTTGTTCTTTACTCGTGTTATAATGACAAATGGAAATAATAAAATTATAAAAATAAATATATCATTCAGGATAGTATATTAACATTAATACATTAAAATTGGACATAAATTAATTAATGAATACTACAATATATCTATTTTTGTATAGATTTACCATAATATACCTAGAATATAGGACTATTATTGGAATAATTATGGTACTCGTGTAGGTTATCCTCAAGATTTTTCATTTGAATTAGGTACCCATACAAATTCTGTTACATATAACATGACTATTATATAAATAAAATACAATAATAGAATAATATAAATATAATAATAAAATAAATAATACATTTCAATAAATAATATTCAATAAACTCTGTTGTGCATAGACACATTTTATACATCATAATATGCAGTATATTTTTTTTCACTATTAAAAATGAATAATAATATGTAAGTACCTACTTATTGTACATATTGATTATTAGGATCGTAGACTGTATATTTAAATATATATAGACAAACATTGATATTGTTATTAATTATTTAAATGTTATGACTTTTTTTGTACTCATAATTTTTCATGACCGCCGATACGCATGCCTACTTTTTATATTTACCGCTCTTCAACATATCTGCCATTCTTATGTACTTCGATTTTAGACTCATTGACACAACTAATATAAATAGTTATTTTAAGAAAACCACTCAGATTTGATAATTCTAAAATAGATATCCTTAAACATATGTATTTGACAACTAGTTTTGTGTAAGCTTTGAAGTGGTTAATTTTGTTTGAGGATAGCTCTGATTTATATTTTCTTCATCGCATACGTAATATATAGATGCAAACTAAATAGTATAAAACCCTCTCGAGCCATGACTAGACTTTATTTTTTGACTAGGCTGGATTCTGACTTGACTAGACTTTGTTTCAACTAGATTTTTAAACACTTGTTATTTGACTAACCAATGTATAAGCATACAGGGTACCTAATTGCATAGATAGTTTATACTTTATTGAATAAGCTTGACTAGATTGTATTGTGACTAGACTATATTATAATACCATACATAGTTGATGTATTATTGACTAAGCTTGACTAGATTTTATTTCAACTTGACTATTTTTACTTCGATAGTAGGTTTTATAGGTACTCTATTGATTAAGGTTGACTAGATAATACATTTCGACTAGATTTAGGTTCTTAACTAGATTGATTTTCGACTTCATATTATAAAGTTTTGACTAGAGTTTATTTCAACTTGACTAAACTGCACGGACTAAAATAATTATTTGACTATAAACATGGATACATTTTTATTAGATCATTAATATCTACTGCTTAAAATACGGTAATATATACAAAATATATAATCTTATAAATATAGCATAAATTTTTTTGGGAGGAAAGAGTTATAAGACGTACCTATACATGTATAATATATATATATATATATAAGGTATTGGTCTAAATATATATAATATTTAAGGGAAATGACTAGAATGTACTCCTGCCGTACTACGGCGTTTCTATTTTAATAATATACAATTAATTAATAAATATGTATGCATATTTCCTATACACATTATTACAGTAATATATACACTTTTCCTATATTAAATGTGAAGTGCGGCAGCGGCGTAATTTAGTCGATTCAAAATTATTATATACACCCTACACTCATAAATTGACAACCATCACTACTGCCACCACACATGCCTATGTTACATAATATTATGTATAAATTATGAAAAATATATAACAGTTAACTATAAACTTATATAACAGAAGGTAACAAGAAACAACACAACCAACACAATTATTGTTGTTGGTACGAAATATAATCTAAATACTGACGCATATATCCCAGGGTTTGTTGCATACGATTGACTTGGTGGTGACGGATTCAGAACTATTTAGGTACTTAGGTACTTTATTTAGGTATTTTTTTTTTATAAGAATAAGCGGCTGCATTTTAATATGCATTATTTTAATGCAGTGGCTGCGGTGACTTGAATGCCCGCCACTGCCGAGTGGTACGCAGCAACTTATATTCTACAAGAAAGTTAAAATTAAATTTACTATGGATGGAAAAAAAACACTTAAAAATAATAACAAAGTTAGGAACAAAAATGATTATTGGTCTATTGTTTGATTAGGTGAGTGCGTAATATCAATATAAGAGAGGTAAATTACTTATGATTTAAATATGAATACAAAATAGACTAGAATTAAGTTTTTTTCCGCAAAAAAAATTCAATTGACTAGATTATTTTCGAATTGGACTAGACTGTTAATATTATGATAAACTACTAGTGTTAGACTGAAATATTCAATATTCAATATTGTATACTTCTTGTTTAATATTTTTTATTTTATTAATAAGTATATTATTGTATATTGTGAGTACATGAGTGTATGACTAGAATTATTTTCATACAGACCGTACATACATATATGGGTAAACTTAATTATTTATGACTAGGAATCTATTTCCATACATACCGCATACCTACAAAATATATTTAATTATTTATGACTAGATATATACCGCATACAAATACTTAATTATTTATGACTAGAAATATTTTTATACATACCACTACATATACTTAATTATTTATGACTAGAAATATTTTCATATACATCGCATATATATAGTTATATATATGCCATATATATATATATCCATATAGGTATATTATTAATTACCTACCTATTTATGACTAGAAATATATTAGGACTTCTGACTAGAATTGTTTCTATGACTACTCGATACATGCAGTTGGTATTTATTAATAAAAACCAAAACTTACAATTATTCTGAACCGATAAGATATGTACAAAACTGGGGTTAAAATGGATTTTTATCTGTATCTATTTTTTATGTAGAGTGGCAAAAGGGGGAGAGCGCTTGGACTGCGGCGGTCAATTTTTTATGAGTACTTATTTTGCGTAATTACACCAAAAATAAAATTACCAATGTGTGTACAGAACTAGTAAAAAACCACCTATCAAATATATACAATTTCAATAAATACCATGTATCTTATACCTATAATAGTGACTTAGAAGTTGGTCATTTGGCCATGTCACCGTCGTCGTTCTTGTAGTTCTTGTCGTTGTTGTCGCCATCGCCGTCGTCGTTGTTATTATTGTTGTCGTTGGCTGCGGCGGCCGCTGCTGCTTGCACGGCTCGCTGCAACATGTTCTTTTTGAATCCCGACGCTGTCGTCACCGGCGCCGTCGTTATGCTGCCACCGTCACTGTCGTTGGCATCGGTAGATGCTGCAATGTCGTTGACAATATTGGACGCGGCAACGTTGACAATATTGGACGCGGCAACGTTGACAATATTGGACGCGGCATTGTCGCTGACAATATTGACATTTACGGCATTGACGGGTTTACCACCGTTGTCGCCGTTCTTGTTGCGATTACCGCCGACGCCGATAGTTTTCATAGATGTCCCGGTGCCGTGCCACCGACGGTGCGACGCCAAGTTGGCCGGACATTGAAACACCTTGTCGCACTCGGGACACGTGTATCGGACGTGCACGATGCACCGGCACCGATGACGGGCCAGCGCGAATGCGTCGGCGTACCGGACACCGCACAGCCGGCACCTGTACGGGCCCAGAGCATTGGGGATGCTCTCGATCTGCCGACGGGCCTCGTCGGTGGCCACGACAATGTTGAACTCGGGGTCGATGTCACCACCGTCGTATTCGTCGTCTCGCGGTTCACCGTCCTGTCCGCCACAGTCAGCCGAAGCAGGGTACGGAGGTGACGATAACGACGAAGACGACGACAACGATGACGAGGTCGACAGCAGCCGTTTGCAGCCAGCTGCCATCGGTTCTTCGAGAGGGGCCGGTACGATTATCGTACCGGACACTGGCGACGACCTGTCAAAGCGGCGGTCGAGCATGAGCTGGGGTAGCAGTTTTCGCGTGGCCGCTTTAACCGCCGTCGTTGTGGCCGTCGCACCGCCGATCGCCGATTTCTTGGACGATTTACCGCGGTTGGCGCTCGCGGCAGTGGCAACCGGCCTTTTCTCCGGTGTTGTGGCAACTGGGTACTCGTCGACTCCCGCCCGTCTGTCTACTATGCGCGCAGCCGTCGTAGTCAGCGTGGCTTTCACGGATAAGTCAAGTGGGCCCGCGGAAGACGTATCGTTCGTCTCCTGCCGATGTCGTAGGAGCAGTGCGCCGCGATCGTTGCGGTCTAAGGTGACCGGCCAATACTCATCTTTGACGTCGCCGATCCGCTGTCGCTTCCCACCGGGCCCGGCGTATTCGTCGTCCACATCGCTGCCACCGCTTACGTCTCCATGGTGGTTGTGCTGGTTTTGGAGGTTCCGCATGCGCACGGCCGCCGCAGCCGTGGTCATCCACCACGTCCACGACGGGTCGGCCGTCGTGACCTGCGCGTAATCCGTCATGGTCACCTCGAGTTAATAATGCGCTACTTCGTAAGTAGAAATTGAATGCGATCGCCTGGTGCACTCGGACGTCTCCGGATCCCGCGCGACGGATGCAGTACTGACGCGCCGCGTGTCTGTCTCGTCGGTGCGCGCCGCTCCTGTTGCGGTGCGTGACTGCCGACTGGCGACTGCTGCAGCTGAGTGCTGGTGTCGCCGGTGTGGTGTGCCAGTGGTGGTGGTGTGCCAGTGGTGGTGGTGTTGGCGGCGGCGGTCTGTTATAGTCTGTGTACCGTTTATCGGCGGCGCGCGAGTATACCACCACCGCCGCTGCCGCCACCGACCAATCACCGCGGCCGCCGACCGATGCAGGGGGCAGGACCCCGGTGCCCACTGCCGCCCGCCCGACGCCCAGTACACTCATCGGCGGTGGTTGTGCAGTGACGTAGTCGCGTAGGTATATACGACAATAACAATAATAACAATAAACAACGCGAACGCACACCATGTATATGTGTAATATTATAATACTATTGTGCTAGCTCGTGCATGTGTGTGTGTGAGCGCGTGCGGAGATACCTTTGTTGTCGGTGGGTCATGTGAACTGGGGGGTGGGTTAAGGGGGGCGCGTGCCACAGCCGTTGCAGCTGCCGCTCGGCGGCACTGTATTATACATTACATGCACTACGGAACCGCGCGCGCGTCATGCCACGGGTGGGTGGCGAGTTGATAAAAATCGCGGCGGCGGCGGCGTGCGAACAAAAATCTCCTCTTCGCCTTCTCCCCCCCTCCCCCTATTCGTGCAGCGCTTTCGCTTTTTTTCGCTCTCAGTCCCCATCATGGGTATAATATTATACTTTGCACTATGTCACTATTATAATATTATAATATAATGCTTGCTGCAGTGTTATTAAAATGCGCGTACATAGTGCACACAATGGCTACATATGCGACGGGTATATGTCACGATGTCTGTGTATATTCGCGCGACTCGGTAGTTCGTCTGTGTGCGGGTTTATACGTGGGTGGCAGTGCGGGGTGGAAGGTCGTGGGACGAATGGGAGGAGGGTTGATTTTGACGGTTATTATATACGAACGGTGCGGGGCACAAATCTCAGCCCTCGACCGACTGTTGTACATTACGTTGTAGGGTGGTTAATAGTAAAGTTATAGCTAATATCCGTATATATACCTATATACGCCCGTATGAGTGTAACTGAATTTTTGTGTATAATTATGTGATTGCGATGGGTTTTGAAAATTCAAGGGCACATTTCTACATAGATAATGTTCGCATATATATTATACAGACTGTCATCCGTTCGACATATTGTGTATCATTACATTCGGTATAAAATATGATACGCCAAATTTCGAACATTTTACAATGATACAATAGTCGTTCGTTCGACACAGTGATGGAGGTAATACGAGTTTAAATTTCGTTTATACCTTTATTTTATTAAAATTTAATCCGTATCAATCTGCGAGCAGAGATGTGGTCGGGCTTAATAAATCATTAGATGCATTTATTATTAAGTTGTATAAAGAGTCATTCCAATACATAATATACTAGGTATTTTAAATACTTACATAGTTATGTTTAGTGTTTACTGTATAAAACGACCTGTAGCACAATTGCACAAATCTCAGCCCTCAACCGACTGTGTACGCTATACGTACCATAGGGTGTATAACAGTTATAGTCTTATAACTATATATTCGTGTACCTCTATGCTCAAATATATACATATTACATGTACTACTGAGTTTGTCTCGAAGTATAATTATTGCGTTGAGTATTTAAAATGCACTATACAAAAATACGAATGCCTATACATACCTAAACTATTGTCAACTCACATAAATATAAGACAGCATATTATGTAACATTACAATACCTACATGTTATGCGCCCAATCATGTCACATAGCGATAATACAATAGTCGTTCGCTCTTCGCAGTGATAATACGATTAAGTTTGGTTTAGATTTATTCGTTTCCTTCAAAAATTTCATTCTATTAATCAAGAGATGTTGTCCGAAGTCATAAACTAAAAGACTCATTTATTTCCGTCATTCCGATATCAAAGAACAATAACAAGATAACATACTATTATTATTTACTTTAAATATTGTGATATATTATAAATTATAATGTTCACTGAGTATGATTTTCAGTTGGCTCATTTATTATTTGTTGAAAAAACAATTAACAAGAAACATATTTTATAAGCTAATGCTACAGATGAGATACATTAAATATTGAAAAAAAAAATCTACCCAGGGACAGGAATTCAGGATATAAGTTTTCATTTAATTTGGCGTCATTGAGATAATTACTAACTATAAAATAATAACTATTTATGGCAAATATATTCTATATTACTATACATTTAGTTTTATAAATTACATTTAATTGTTATATACCTACTGTAAATTATATTAAAGCCTAAAAGGTTTGATATATAATTATTTATGGAATTCCAGGCTCTCGTTTTACTTAATAAAGATAATTAAAGTAATAGATTTTTTATAACCTACGAATAAATACATGTAATACTGCAATGGATACGTTTGACCAATATAAACGTATTTCTTTTTAATATTAAAAAGCTATATCGACTTACAACTAAAATAAAAGCAATAGTTAAAATTTTGGAGTTCAGTGTTAATAAATTGACGGAATATATCGTGCGATTTATAGTGATTTACTATTATATATAATATAAATAGTTATAGGTACTTATAAATTTATATCGATACAGAATGATTCACCAAGTAAACTAATCCCCATTTTTATACTTTATTAAAGTGTATTTATTAAAATTCTGATTATTGGAACTTTCAAGTATACCTTCCATCCGATTTATTATGTTTTGAATTACTTACATTTTTACAGTATACATACTCATTTAAGAAGTGTCCTGTGGTGATACACACTTTTGAGAAACAAATGAGAACCACCCTTTTCTATTATAAACTATTTTTTGGAAATTGTATTATACAATAATTGTATCTATTCTACATTCTTCCTACATATTGAAATTTGAACGAGTAGTTTCTGGGTTTTACTATTTTAACTTCTGAGTACTTTATATATACCGAGGATAATATTTCATACCACTCCGTGATAATGGGATTAAAGATATGGGAACGTTAATGATTTGAAAATTGTGGCAATTAATACTTATACATTAGTACATTTTATACATTTTTATTCATTTTATAATTTGTAGAAATTGCCCGGGTACCTATAATAAGTAAAGTATAATAAATACCTATAATAGATTAAATATTACATCTATTTTATATTTTTATGAACTAATATCTTCTTAGTATGAACATTTTAATAACCTATAGAAACAACTCATTCAAATTTTAATTTATATAAGTTAGTACATGAACATTTTCAAAAACTTAATCTCATTAATAATTAAATGCAAAAAAGAATATTTTTATTTTTAAAAACTGGAGTTTGTACCGTCAAAATCCTGATTATATGATACAAATATCTAAGTCATTAAAAATAAGGCTTTTAAGTATAGGTACTTGAACATTTTGAACAAATGCGAGCGTATTATTAAATGAAAAAAAGCTGGCATACTTACCTGAATTGCCCACTGCTTACTACCTTAAGCGATAGTATAGAACTATGGACTATAGACCAGTCGTCGTGTGCAGGCATTCATAGCAATTTATGTGGACCGCGAATAAAAATAAATCGCATAAAAATAGATTATATATTGTATAAAAATTAAAAAACTACGGACTAATAGATGGTATAGACTGGAAACCGTGGATTAAAACGTTGTTTGTTTATAGATATCTTGTTAACGTAACAGTCATATGAACCTAAATAGACTAAATTTTATAACTAGTCACACATTTTACTTTTGAAATGGAATAACGAACATTCAAATTTTGGCCCAAGAAAAATGTATGTTTATTTTTTAGCACTCGATATCAAAAAGGTTGCCGACCCGTATATGGACTGGGAGATAGGGGAATCGTTAGTATAGCAGGTAAAAAATGACATATGTTAATTCCTGCATATGAGATGTGTAAATTTTTACACGAATATTAACATGAGATGTATACAATAATGTAGTTCACAGGTAAAAAAAAAAAGTTCCTACGTATCTATGTAAGTTCCTACATGGCTGATATGTTGTATGTGGAATTTCATACACGGTAAAAAAATGTATTAATATATATATATATAGTTATATAAAAATATCATAATAGATACATTGATAGATTTCATTTGTATAGATTTGCATATTATATTTCATATTTTTTAATTAAAAAAATTGTATTATACTTGGTTTATACCTGTACATTTTATAATTCAATGATTGTTTGAAAAAATATAATATTTATAACAGTCATAATAATTAAAAAAATTATACTTAATTATATATTTTTCTACCATGTAGGATCTTACATACGTAGGTACTCTTTTTACCGCGTAGGAACTACCTAAGTGCTAACATATTTGCCTTTTTTCCACTGTGTAGGAACTTACTAAATATGTATTATTTTTCTAATATGTAATAACTAATATATGTATTAATATAGGTCAGTGTTTCCCAAAGGGTGTGCCGCGGCACAACAGTGTGCCGTGAAATTTGAAAGGTGTGCCGCGACAACTTGAACTTTTTTTATAAAAAAAACATAAAATGATTTTTTTTTTTAAATATTAAAATATATAATACAAATAAAACTAATAATTAATACAAGAACGAACGTCGCAAAGCTTCAATACAATTTGGGCTGGCCGTTGTGTTTTTTGAACGTAACTGTTTCGTATGACCGAACGAATTATCACTTAATATTGAAAGGCCAAAAATGTATAGTACACGGAACAATTCTATGATATATATATACAAGTACAGCTATCAAGATATAATAATATTATTACCTATTAACGATAATAATATCCGACATCATTACCTATATACGTATTATTCGATAAGTAGATAATATTTATTCAAAGTGTGCCGTGACTTATAATAACTAATAATAATGTGCCGCGATGGGAAAAAGTTTGGGAACCGCTGATATAGGTGCCTGCTAGGTCTAGCGTAGGGACTTATAATGGGCTATGTCCTATGTGTATTAAATCTAGTCAGCTCTTTTTGGTAAATTTGAGACGAAATTCAATGGACTGTAAATTAAGTAGGTACTGTCGCAAGACTACGACCTCTTCAAATCAATAAGACCATAAATCAACCGGTTTCAGTAGATTTTTATCTAATGGCGATAGTATTAGAATTTTTGTTTAAGCTTTTAAATCTC